CAGTTGCTGAAGGAGGTGTCTTAAAATCTTCCACTATGATTTTAAGTTTGTCTATTTCTTCTTTATAATTCCATCAATTTTGGTTTATGTACATGTATTCTGAGGATATGTTATTAGGTATGGATCAATTTAGACTTTTTATATCTTCCTGGTGAATTGACCTTTTATTGCTACAAAATATCCTTCTGAAATACTTTGGAATTAAAGTCTACTTGACAGAAATTATTATAACAATAGCAATGTTCTTTAGTGTTTGAATAGTATCTCTTTTTTCGATCCTTTTAATTACAACTATTGTTATCACGTTTAATGTATCTCTCTCATAAACAGCATACAGTTGCCTTTTTCAATCCAGTCTGAAAGTATTGTCTTTTAATTATTTACTCATTTATATTCAGTGTTACTACCTGAATTATTTGGTTTAAATCTACCATTTTACTACATGGATTCCATTATCCCACCTGTTCTATATTTCTTTTTCTATTCATGACTTTTTGGGTTAATTAAATATTTGTCAGTTAATTTTCTTTATATTAGCTTATTATTACCTATATCCTTTATTAGAGGATATAAAAACTAGCTATTAAATAACTCAAGTATCCTATAATCCTTGACCCCCACTTATGCCCTCCAGCCATATCTGGTGTTGTTATGTATTACATATTTTAATACTATTTATCATTTTGTGAAATCAATATATATGTATATTTCCCACATATTTATTCTATCTGTTGCTTTTATTCTTTTCCTGCTTCTCTGTGCTTCCAACTAGGATCACCTTTAAATCTCCTTTACACCAAATCTCTAGGATCAGCTCTGTTTAGGTCTTCTTGAAAATATCTTTATCTAAGTTTTCCTTTTGATGGATATTTTCACTGGGTATAGAATTCTAGGATAGAATTTATTTTCCTTCATAAAGACAAAGATAACATTTTATCGTCTTTTGGTGCTCACTGTTTCCTTCGAAAAGAGGGTAATACTTGCATTTCTCTGGTTTCTTTTATTGGAAGATTGCCTCTTTGCCTCAAATGTTCAGCAATCTTATTATCAGTCATGTTGACTTTCTTTTATATATCCTGCTAGGAGTTTACAGTACTTTTTTGAAGGTGTGCCTTGATATCTGTCATAAGTTCTAGAAAATCCTGTATTTAATTCTTGAAATACTGTACTTCCTTTCCAATCTGAATATAGGCCCTAATAAATTGTCACAATCTTGATAGCTCTCTAATGTCTTCCTGCAAACACACACCAGTTTTCTTGTTCTCAAAGGAGAGTTATTCTGAAGCAAACTAACAACCATTGCATAAAGCAATCTTTTAAAAACTGTGTTATATCAGATCATTCTCTTACAAAAAACATCTAATGACATTCCATCATAACTAAAATAAAATACACAAATGTTACTCTATTTAGATGATCATCTGACCTTCCTATTATGTCTGATTTTAACCTGCATTGCTCCTGCCTTTTTCACAATTTTCTAACTGAGTCAGTTTTTTTCTATATCTCTAACATGTCAAAGTTGATTTTCATCTTAGAATCTTTTCAGTGTTCCCTTTGCTCATAATTCTCCAACTAATAAACAAGGTTAGTTCCTTCTTATTTTTCCATTTTAAGCTCTAATTCTCCCTCTACCACAAAACTTCCTCTAACAAACCTAAAGCACCTTCAAATATTCTATATATGTCACTTTTGGGGGGGGGCAGAGTATGACTCCATGCCCTGGGTAGAATACCATGGTGTCATCATAGCTCACAGAAAACTCAAATTCCTGGGCTCAAGCGATCCTCTAGCCTCAGCCTCCCTAATAGCTGGGACTACAGGCACCTGTCACTATACCCTGCTAATTTTTATATTTTTAGTAAAGATGGGTCTCACTTTTGCTGAGGATGGTCTTGAACTCCTGAGCTCAGGTGATCCACTCATCTCCCAGAGTCCTAGGATTAGAGGCGTGAGCACCAGCACCTGCCTGGAAAATAATTCCTTCATTTTCCCAATAATCCAATTTCCCAGCCTATTGCACTTGTATGTATATATCTCACCTTCCCTGCTGTTAGGTAGATAAAGGTCTGCACTCCTCTTCTCTATTTGGCCCTGGGCCCCGCTGTCTCTCACTCACTCACTTTCCTTTTACAATTGTCCCTTTCTATCCTGAATCATTAATTTTTCTTTTTCTATTGGATCATTTCCTTTAGCATATATTCATGTTGAAATATGTCCCCACACCTGTTATCCTTCCCAGTTATCCCTGTCTTCCTGGTTGAAAAATGAGGGTGAAGGAGAAATAGGAGAGTGTGGGGTCTTCAAAGGAGGATGTAGTCAGATCCATCAAATGCGGCTGATATGTAAAATAAAAGTGGATAATTGGGTTTGAAAAGACAAAGGATGCTTTCTATCTTGAGAGTTTTAGTCAACTTTTGAGAGCAAAAAATAATTTGAGTTAAAAAAAAAAAACTAGGAATAAGGAAGTGGAAACAGAATGCATAGGCATACCTTCTAAGGAATGTTGCTATAAAAGAGAAGAGATGAATTATACAGTGCCTAAAGGGTGATGAATTGGTGAATGGGAGGCAAGTTTTAAATAAGAGATATTTCAGCATGAATAAATGCTAAAGGAAATAAACCAAGAAAAAAAAGAAAAATTAATAATCCAGAATAAAAGGTGGACAACTGTAAAAGGAAAGAGTTTGAGTGGGCAAGAGAGAGGGGAGTCCAGGACCAAAAGAGGAGAGGAGAGCAGATAGTTCACCTACCCTAACATTGGGGAAGGCAAGATATATAGACACAAGTGCAGTAGGCTGGGAAATCAGATTATTAGGAAAATGAAGAAATTCTTTACCAATGACTTCCAACTTCTCACTGAAATGATAATGGAGAAAATGCCTAAGATAAAGGAAAGGAAGAAGCTGTTGGAGCTTTGGCTATCGGGCACAAGAAAGAGTGAGGCAAAGGTGGGTATATAAGGAGCAATGACGGAGATTGCCCAGAATGTCTAACTCAGCTAAAAAGGGAAGAACACAAAGCAGTAAATAGAAGGTTAAAGAATTTTTGAAGTCAAAGTACAAAAGACAGCTCAGCACCTGTAGCTGAGTGGTTAGGGTGCCAGCCACCTACACCAGAGCTGGCAGGTTCAAATCCAGCCCACGCCTGCCAAACAACAATGACAACTACAACCAAAAAATAGCTGAGCATTGTGGTGGGTGCCAGTAGTTCAAACTACTTGGGAGGCTGAGGCAAGAGAATCTCTTAAGCCCAAGAGAGGTTGCTATGAGCTGTGACACCACAGCACTCTACTGAGGGCAACATAGTGAGACTCTGTCTCAAAAAAAAAAAAACAAAAAAAAAAAAACAAAGTACAAGAGAAGATCAGGGAGTGGGATCCTTGAGACTCAGAAGTGCATTAATGTACATAGTTACCATTCAATTAAAAAAAAGATAAATTCAAGTTTAGAATATAACCATGAAAAAGCTGAAAAATATCTTAAAACTTAGGAATGTTTTTGAAGAAATATATAGTTATATTTTTATGCAATCTTTACAATCTATCTTTTAATTGGCAAGGTCTGGTCCATTTTTATGTGTATTGTAATTATTAATAATTATGAAATTATATGTAATTCCACTACTTTGTTTTATACTTTCTATTTACCTTACCTTTTCTGTGCTTCTTATTTTCTTCTTTCCTGGCTTCTATTGAATTAATGGAGTTATTTTTTAATTACCTTTTCCTCTCCAATAGTTTAGACATAGTAATTTTATTCTTTTAGTGGATACCCATAAATTTATCAAAATATGTATCGGATTTAACTGTAGCAAAAATTAATTAATACCTATTTCCTATAATTAAACAAGCCAAGCTCTGTTAATGGTTTGGTCTGATCTCTATAGTTATGTCTTTCACATTATACTTTTCTATAGTATTCTAATTTCTCCTGGTTTTAAAAATCTTAAGATGATCATTATAATTCTTTCATACAATAAATGCTTTAGATTCATTAACATGCCTATTAATGCCTTTGTTCACCAGTGAGATAGACTACACATTCCTTAAATGGTAAAATGAAAACTAGTCCCCCAAAAAACCTTCTTTTAATATTTAAAAGCTATTAAATCAATTACAATTGATTTATACAATTTATACAATTAAATACAATAAAATTCATAAAATATAAAAAAGAAGTAAATTCAATAACTATTCTTTGAATATCTTGCCATACAGCAAATTGGCTTTCAGAGAATTGTCTCATAGCAAATTTATTTTTTATACAATTAGTTTCTGTGTTAAGAGTAGAGTATAAATGTCTTACCACAACACATAGGTGAGGTGATGGCTATGTTAACAAGTTTGATGTAAGCTTTCCACATTGTATATCAAATCAGTACATTGTACCCCATAAATGCATTAATGTACACAGTTATGATTTAATAAAAAAAAATTAAAAATTAAAAATTAGAAAAAATTAGTTTTGGAAAAAATGATTTTCAGTAAATATGTGTGGTTAAATTTTCCTACTTCTGACTAATAGGTCTTTTTTTTTTTAATAGGCAAGTCTCTCTGCCCCTTTCCTGGAAGTCTTAGGAAAAGCGTGTTATTTTTTGTTGTTGTTGCAGTTTGGCTGGGGCCAGGTTTCAACCCGCCACCCTCAGTATATGGGCCTGGCGCTCTACTCACTGAGCCACAGGCACCACCCGACTAATAGGTCTATGTAAATTTCTGCTATGAATAATGGCAAGATTAGGAAGTGAATAATTTTACCTAGAGCACAATGAAGTCTCTGAGACTGAACAGTGCTATACAAGACCTTATGGACTAGAAATGGATAATAGTAGTAAGTGAGTCAAACTCTGTGTTGATTTTTACAATGCGGATGTTAGAGAGAAGAGTTTTGTGGCACTTTTGCACTTTGAAAGATGGATTACTTTGAGAATGATGTAAGTTTAACACAGGGACATAATTATAATAATTACTTCTTTTATAGGTTCACATATATTGCAAAAACATGTCCACTGTACTGGAAAACATCATTTCCATCATTGATATTTTCCACCAATATGCAAAAAAAGATGTGGAGACAGACACATTGAGCAAAAACGAGCTGAAGGAACTTCTGGAAACACAGCTTCGGCCAGTCCTAAAGGTAACAGATTTTTGACAGGACTAGAGTATTAACGTATTCAATCAGTAATCTAAGTGAGATTTATTGTAAACCATTTTGAATTGTTTATTTTAAAATAGGAACAGAGTCTACAGACACATAGAGACCCTCTATAAGAAAAACTTGATAAAAACACTTAAATACAAAACATGAATGCCAATTGGCTAGTTCTCTAGTACATTGTTACATCAAAATTACTAACAGGGTACATTGTAAAAACAATTAAATACAGGACTATATAAAATTCTAACTTATGAAATAAGAAAGAGAAGGACTTACCTTATCATTCATTTATCGTGTATTTCCTTAACACGATACTAGACACTAAATTTCCTTCCTGATGTCTAACATCTACATGAGATGATACAGCTAAAAAAAGAATAAAACATGAAGGCATTTCCTTCCAGTTTGTGCTGCCCACAATTAAAATCCCTCAATGAATTTCTCTTAAATACCTAAGATGTGAGTCAGGCTAAAACAGTCTCTCACTGTGATTTACCTCTATACAGAATCCAGATGATGCAGATGTTGCTGACGTCTTCATGCATATTCTGGATATAAACCACAATAAGAAAATAGACTTCACAGAGTTTCTTCTCTTGATCTTCAAGCTGGCACAAGCATACTACCAGTCTGGCAAGACACAGAAATTCCAAACATCAGATTCAAAGGAGAAAAAGCATAATAGACAGGATCAAGATAAAGATGAAGACAGAGAAGAAGATGAGACAAAAGAAGAAAAAATATACGAGAAAAGGAAGAATGAAATTGCTGGACAAGATTCAGGACCACTCAGAAAGCACGGGGAAGAGAGAAGACATCAGGCGTTCAGAGATAGGTACCAGCAAAAAGGTGCTACACATGAACAACAACCATCTAGATCCAGTGACCGAGGGCAGCGGGGATCCAGGGCCAGTCACACCAGTGATAGCGAAGGGCAATCAGAAGACGCAGATACTCGATCAGCGGCAGCCCACGAAAGGGATGAGCACGGTCAGAGGAACCATGGACACTCTGCACACAGCCGGTCAGGGGAACGGGCGAGACAGTCAGGGTCTCTCCTGTACCAGGTTCACTCTCATGAACAGCCTGAGTCCTCCCATGGACAGCACCGGTCTGACAGTAGAGGAACACAAGGATCACACCAAGAGCACGGTCGAGATAGCTCTAGACACTCAGAGTCTCGTGAGGGTCACGCAAGCAGTCACGGACAGTCCACATCAAGCAGAGCGAGAGGGGACCAGGCCCACCACGACCAACCAGGAGGCAGGTCTGAAAGTCAAGGGTCCCGTCACCACGTCTCCGATTCTGCCCACGGTCACTCAGCATCCACAAGTGCTAGCAGGCAAAGATCTGGCCAGCAGCACTCCGGAGACTTGGCTAGGCGGTCAGGGTCACGTCAGCGAGACGGTT